TGGCAACTTTGTGCGCAATTTTACAATGACAATCAACAATATTTCTTTTATTTGGCCTGCTAAGTCTAAATGTGGAAGCGGATTGGCACGGATTCATTTCATAATCTGAGAAACCTTAGAAAATCGGATTCGCGGGCGTATTACATCGGGCAAGCCCGAGTGAACTAAACCGGATCCTAAATTATAATCCGTGAAATGCTCTAGTCGGAAGATTGCTGCTATTGTTTTAGTCGGCTAGAGTCGATTGTCAGGTTTTGTAGCTGCTCCACCTACTTTTCACGTCAAAACAAAGTTGGCAAGTTTCAAGGGTTCTTCCGAACGTAGACGGCTAATAACTTGGTCACGTTTTTGGGTGCCAATATTCGTCCGGTTTGTTTTCAGTTCTGATGACATTTGCGATAAGGCATCGTAGGGAAAGTAACGCAAAATATAACTCAAACGTTTCTGGACCAGTTATCAAGACATATCAATCGTGTAATCAAAAAACTTGCATCGCGCAGGAAAAGACAGGAAAATAGCCAAGAAAACACGGCACAAACGTGAACCTTTTAGGTTTGCCTAGCTCAATCAATGCACTCAGCTGAATGCATTTTTCACTCTCCTTGTTCCTAGATAAGACAGTAGTAAAAGCCTTATGTCTTGGAGACCCGAGAATGGAGATGTAAACACCAGGAGAATGGAGATATAGATGCGCTGATATTATGACAACATGCCTTTATGCATGCCTCTGCTATCGAAACGAATAGCGGAAGTGGATTAAACATTGCCTGCCGATGATCCTGCTCGATTTTTCAGTTTTTGTTTTTAAACAGCGAACCACATACAGGACACCAACATTCATGGGATTGAGCAGGGAGCAAGTGCTATTCAGTATTACGATACAGTGCATATCTAACTAAGAATTAGAGTACGTGAAAAATACGTGTACATGCAAACGAATTCAAGTAAACAGGCGTCACGCAGCACGCTTCATTCAAACGTGCCAGCGAGCTCAAGTAAACAAGCATCACACATCACGCATCAATGATGCATGTAAACGATTTCAATTAAGCATGCATCGCGCATCACGCGCCAGGCATCACACATGTAAGCGATTTTAAGCTAGCTAGGACAGATGAACATAGCTTTCTATCTGCGTGGTCCTGTGCTCTGTAGATGACTTTGAGCTCTAAAAGGGGCGTACGGTCCATACTTCCCTGGATTTCAGTCTGAGCGTGTTTTGCCGAAAAAAGATTACCGAGATGGATATTCTCTGTTTTGTTGTTTGCGTATCGCAGGTGCTCATTACATCTCATTATATTGAACATCGAGCGAGAGAGGAGCAGTGGTCCACCTAAATGAATATAAATCGACACCCGTGTAAAGAATTAACCTAAAATGGCGAGCACATTTTTGCGATATTACAAAATTCCACATATGAGTGAAATAATGGGAAACAAACGACCCTGGCAGGCGTGGGAGGCTGGGCGCGGTCAGGCAAATGAGACGAAACAGCTTCAAGAAGATAAGTGCAACTTTGGGCGCTCACACAAACGTGCAGCGAGCAAAGCTATTGATGCAATCAGTTCACTCGACTCTTTATTGGAAAGCCTGATCTGTTTATGCAAAAACTATCTTAGATAGTTTTTGTGATATTATAGAGCAGTTGACCCTTCACATAGCACATAGCACAACGGTGCCTTAGAACCAGCACCGTTATGAAAAGTATATTCAGAATGATTTGGGCTGCAGCTCCGTCACGCCTCTGTCGGTTCCAACATCCCAGATGGTAAGAGCGCCTACATCCTGGTGCAACGACCGATGGCGAGATGGGTTCGAATCCCTTTGGTGCTGGCTATTTGCACCAGACTGGGATGACCTGTGGCCAGTGCAGCGACCCGCTCGAAAGGACCCAGTTGACAGGACAAGACGGACCTTGGCGAGCAGTGTGGCACGTGACAATTTCGCCCCCAAATTTCCCTGTTGACCCGGGATTTCGTGACCGAATGGTGGGGTTAGGACCCACGCAACAAGCGCTGCTTAGCGTGGGCTGTGATCCTGAGAACTCGTCCAGTCAAAATGCTCGAACAAAATCTTTAAAAACAAGCAACCGTCCATACGCACGCAGCTGAGAGTGCAGTTATCTGACGGTAAATTCCCTCCCAAAAATTAAAGAATCGTTGAACTAGGAAAGGTCAGAAAGTTAAAGCACGTGGCAACGGTGTTCCATGCCAATCGTCGCTCTGATGGACTCGACAGCTAACTATTTTCCTGATATCTCCCGATTCCACAATGTCAGAGATACGAATGAAATGTCATTCGATAGTTTGTACGGCGTTTAATCGGAATTACTGGGTATTTTTTACTTTCTGAGGTAGAGTCAAGGCCATATCAGGTCAGCTACATCTCTTCTGTTTTGACCGGGTTTTGTTCAAATAATGTCTCTTGATCTCTGCACGAATTTATGTTACAAGCTGTGTTGTATATAAAGCTATGTTATACATATAAAACTATGTTATATATAAAGCTATGTTATACATATAAAACTATGTTATATATAAAGCTATGTTACATACAAGCTATGTTATAAGCATTGCATGCACACGACCTGCACTAACCAAAAGTGTACACGTGTGAACGTACATTATCGAGGCAATTCGTTTCTTCTTTGAGCAGGATTTGTTGTTGCCAACCAGCAATCCTCTTTCGTGACCGGTTGAAGCCATGGTTGGTGTCTAAACACACTTGAGCACAACCTTCAACTGAAGTTTTATTTTAGGTCAGCGACCAATGGTGACGTTTTGGAATTACAGAGCCATATATGGATAAGAATGTGGTGCTGATTGATAGGAGTGTGGTGCATTGAGGAAGTGTATTGAAACAAAAGTTTGCGGGAAAATAAACAGCTAACCGGGGATCAGATATCAGGGTCATGCCACGCCAATGAGGGGCTGTCCAAACGTAACGTGACACTGGTTATCATTACTGTGTGAAAATGAACTTTTAAAGTGAAAGAGCAATGAAGCCGAAACCTACAGACCATGGTGGATGGAAAATGTTTCAACATCCGGACCCTCCAGGTCAGGTTAGTCACGTGGCCTGTCATAACAATTTAGGTGGAAATGTACTCGCACGTTGAAGAAATGACACCAGTGGATTTTGGGTGGCACCAGCGGTTTCTAAGTCAACAAAAACTGACAATTACGCTACTAGAGTGGCATACGAAGAGTCAGTGCTGGCTTACCTGGTGAAAATTACGGTAGGTAAATATTTCACACCGCTTCTCATGCTTTAATTTTCTAGGTCGGTGATTTCTCTTCCGCTACATCACGAGTGGCGTCTCATTTTTCACCAACCATTTGCATATAATTGGATGCTCATAATGAGCATACAGCACGACTGACCAGCCTCCGTGTCGACAATTTGTCAAGAAAAATCAGAGCGGTAATGTGGCGATATTTGAAGATCTTGGTGTTACACGCCTGTCTGCATGGAAAACTAGGTAGCGATTTATGCGCTCACAGGAAGTGAATCATCGATTATGCGTACGAGAAGGAAAGGCTAGCTGCAGTGCCGCCACTTCTCAGCCCGCCGGCCTGCAAAGCTTGGGCTTAAGAGGCCCGCAGGGCTTTTAACGGGTATTGCTGACTGCTTTGCGGGTGTAGACAGGTGTTATTCCCAAAATATACCACTTAGTTATAGGGTTACCCAACCGGTGATATCCTTCTTTGAGAGTTCAATGCTGTTGTTTTTTACACGAATGACACATGGCTATGTCACACGGCAAGCATAATGATATAGCACTAAGACTGGTTTTCATTTTAGTTCTCGTTAAATGCATGTCTAATGGCGCATCCATGACAATCTTAAATTTACTGAACCCCCTTAAACTGGAGAGCGCATTGACCACGAGATAGGTTCACGGCCGGCGCCATGTTGTGAAGAACAAAAAGCCTCGATTCTCGCGTGGCGCCATAGGCTGCAGCGTTGAGAAGGCTCTGACTAACCGGCGATTGGGAGTGAAAGTAGATTGCCTGAAGCCATTTGGTGTGTTTGTGGGCTTTTTAAATGTTCTGATCTCGCAAATATGATGGCAGTTGTACGGCCTTAAACGACACGAATCGAAGGTTGAAAAAGGAAGAATATTTTTTGGCTTTTGGGAGTAGAGCTTTAGCCAGGCTAGGGTTACCAAGGGTGTCATTGTCGAAATTAATGACTTGCTGTGCCTTGTTGTCAAGAAGTGCTAGAACGTTCGCCTAAATATGGTTTCATGAGGCGGCGTTTGACATGAATGACAACGAACAGACGACGACGGCATGACCGACAATAAGAGAGTCAGCTTTCCACGAGGATGCAATTCGTCTCACTCCTTCTTCTTTATGCTCTGCCTCTGCTCTATCAATATTCCTTGTCATGGTATTGAATTGCGAAACACCCAGCTGAACACGCAGAGATTCTTAAGTCGATGGAAGCTTCATGTGGGCATAGCATGATTTTACACGGTTGTTGTGTGTAACATTGCTGTATTCATACATTCAGAGCTGGCGCAAATACATCATACAAGACATTTTTGGTAAGACCGCATGATGCACCGAAAAGCAAGAAAATAAAATGAACATATCCCGTAAGACCTAGGACAAAAACTGCGACTTGCATGTCCTCAAATCAACACTTTAGTTTAACCCCCGATAAAATACTTAAGAATCCACTTGCACATCCATGCTGGTCATCGCCGCTTCAGGTGTTGAGTTGTGGACTATCACTTGGCTACCGTTCCAGTTTCAGCTCCCAAGTTGTCCATCGGACCGAGATACAAACGAAGATCGCAGTAACCCCGCACATTGAAAACAGATACGGAATCCAGAGCCCGATCCTTACCACCACCGAGCACGGTGAGCTGATCATCGTACAGCGGTTTACGGAACCCAAACTTCTTCTCAAAGCCACTAGGTGGCAGGAGCAGTGCACCAGCGATCTCCTCTGCCGGCAGCGCGCGGCTGCCGGTCACGTGTCCCTCTTTATCACGGATCGCCGCTGGGCGAATATCCAGCACCAGGTCCTTGCCACCGGCAAGCCGCGCCGCACGTCTCCGCCGGAATTTCGCGAGACACGGGCGCGCCGCGGCGCGCCCAGTCTTTGAAAGAGCCGTAGTAGAGACGCAGGTTGCCGTAACCGGCGGGAATCATCTTAGCAGCAGCAGCCTCGGCGCGAAGGCCGGAATAACACATCAGGACCATCTCCTGCTCAGGTGGCGGCAGCACGAAGCCGTACTTCTCACGGAAGGCGGCAGCCGTCAGCGTCAGGGCCTCGTTCAGCTCGTGCAGCGGCAAGTTGTGGGAGTTCGGCGGGCGGCCCTGGTCCAGCAGTTCGGACCGGTTGCGCACGTCCAGCAGGAAGATGGCGTTGGCACGCACCAGCGGCTGCAGCTCCTCGAACGCGATGCCGGGATAGGGCCCGGGCCACTCGGCGGGCGCCGCCCGTCCCGCCGCCGGGCCGCCCACGAGCGCGGCCACTACCAGCAGCCACAAGCCCATCGCGGTGCACGGACACCCCACGGAATGGACGCGCTAGATCTCGCCGCGCAACCGACCTTTTGCTGGTCGTCTCGCAGCCGGTCTCCACACGCGCTCCCCTCCCGGTCCGGTCTCTGACCTCGACTGCAGACCATGACGGTTGCTTGGCCCCATCGCGTGACGAGCCCACTGGCCTCGCGCCTATTTTCACCAGAAAGTCGCCAGTTTTCCCCCGCATACCGCCAGACGCGAGACACAGAGACGTGCGTGGGCAGCATTTTTAAGGCAACTTGCTTGTAGGTCATGTCATGGGGGTCAGGCATGTCATGCCGCCTCAGAAAAGCTGATTGAACGAATCGTTATACTTTTTGCATCGTGTACACTTGTCACATTATTTTGTATTCTCTTGTCTGGTGCATCTGCATAGGCATACTTAGGGTTATGATCCTATGCCACGGTTCAGTGTGCTGCCGACTGCCGTTTGAAGCGGGCTGCTGATTAATTTGTGGGACTGGAAATGACTCCATGAAAAGTCTGTTTATATGTGTTGTTTTTACTAGCGTCGGACGTGCGAGCACACCATCAGACTGTGCAACGTACATTTGCCTACGTCATGCTTTTGCTGATTGCGTCATGCTTTTAGACGGCTATCCCGCCGCACCCAAAATGTGCTTTCCTTCCCGGATTTTATCTGGCCACGCTTGCAGTCTTTTAGAGAGGAGGCTCAAGGTATTTGGGTGATGGTATGATGTATTGTATGGATCCAGCTAAGCTTTGTCATAGTTGTAGACGACTGGCGGTTGTGATCGCTTCGAGCCTTTATAGATATCTCGTACAACTAGACCGGAGCCAGCTACGCCCAGGGTGTGCTCAGCAAGGACGTGGTGCAACGCAACAAAAGCAAACCCACATGCGCGGGTTTCCGGGCGTGCTTTCACGTGAATATTTACGGTGCCAATAGGAGCATACGACGCCTGTACATTCGGCATTGTTTCCGGCTATGAAAGCACTTCATAAAACGTCAGTCATTTTAAGAAAGAACGGGACAGCCATTTTACAAAATCGCTGTGAGTGGTGATGGCAAGCATTCCACTGACCGTACAGTGTTCGCTGCCTTTGTTGTTGGATCCGCTTGTGTAGCCATTCAATGAGGCCGTTTCGGGCGATGCACGGATTCGAGCACGACGTGCTCAGTTGGACTCCGGACTACAGAAGTCCTCAGTTGATTGTAACTTGTAATTGGTGATATCGACCAAAAGCTGTACCCAGTAATTTGCAAAAGCAGACTGCTCAGACGGCAGACAGCCTAAATGTGTTGGACACGGGTAAAGCCTGACAACGCTGTGACTCAGACGACAAACAAACTAGTCGGTGCCAAATAGGCAATAAGTGACAACGGACAACGACGGCATCGCAAGGATTGAAAAGTGGTGTGCTATGTACCATAAGTGCCTTGCTATGGCAACCAACTTAAGTGGTGTGTTTCGTATCGCAGCTGGAATAACATGTTGCGCACGGCAGCGCGAGGTCCTCATCCACTCTAGGTCCGCACGTGTTCTGGCAGCAAAAATCCAACCGAATGGTGGCCCTGCCTCAGGCCCAGCCTAAGCCTCAAACCTGTCAGCTAATGCTGCGCAGTGACTGGCCTTTCCGCTCGTGCAGCGGCCGGCACCAGCACAGCCGGCACGGTCCCTGGTCCACCGGAGCCGGCGCTGTCACCTGTCCTAAGCTGCCGGTTTCATGAGAGCCGGCGTGACGCCCGGTCCCACCACTCACTAGAGCCGATCAAAATTCGTACCTGTGCAAACAACGCCCAAACACCAGGTGCTGTTCTTTTACCGGGGGGCCGCCGAAGGCTGAAATGCGAGATATTTGTTGTAAAACACAGTCCTGGTGGATAACGCGTAAAGCAGCGTCTGGCACCCATCCACATCGTGTAAATTACTCTTAATACTGTTCAAGGTCACTTCTAAAGGGGCCTCACAGGTAGCCCAGCTCGGAACGAAACAACCAGTGGTTCATGGTGTTCTGGTACAGGGGCACGGTGTAGTGATTCGTGATGTTTAAGGTACAGCGGCAGTGAAACCTCTCCGGAGATGGGAAAACGTAATTTTCACCTTGCATATTTACATCTGCCATTGCCTCAATGTTAAATTGTGGGAGGGGAGACGTCCAACCCCCCCCCCCCCCCCCGCCACTAAAACGGCTTGCTTAATCTGCCGTCCCTGTTGCGGGTGCGGAACTGATCATTGGAGTCAAATCAATCCGATACCAGCTGCAATCCAAGGACATTCAAAGCAAAAAGAGAGGGATCCTGCAAAACCCTCCAACACAGCAATGCCAAGGTGCAACATTTTGCTGAACTCGGCATTTTTCCGATGGGGCATCTCATCAGGGGGCCAGTTCATCATGGCAGCGCACCGATATCGGCATTCGAGTGGCTTCCCTGCCAAGCCCTGGGATGACCGTGAAATCTCTAGTTGCGCCTCGAAGCGTGCAAGTTTATGACACATGATTTTTTCAAGGCAACGACGGCCACCGTAGCCCACTCTGTTATGGAGCGCCAACGACTGGAGACGCCATATTAACGCTCAGGGACATGGCGTAACCGAGGTTTGAATCCAGGCCCCACACGTAGAAGCCGAAAACGTGTACTATTCGGCAATCACGCCCTCCGTCATTTGGGGAAGCA